TACCCACTCATGGAAGTTTCATAAACACAGGGCACTTAGCTGGTTCAAAAGGGCTATAGTGCTCATTTTTTGTGGATGAAAAAAAAACTTTTGATAAACTTTTCTCTCTGCGCTACTTCAAATGCACGCGATCCAAGTTTAGAGTTTTCTTAACATAAATTTAAGTCCAAAACTACAACTAAAGTATAACATAAGAAATGTCAATGTTGCCCAATATGTCTAAGATTGTTATTCTGCTCCACAACAATACTTGTAAAATAATAGAGACTTTGTCGTGGTGACAAATCTGAAAATCGATTTAAAGATCGCAAATATCATGGTGAATGTTAAAAGTAATAAGTCAATACTTCTTAAAAGGACTCTTTTAAGTAAAGAGCACCAACCCAATACTTCTAAAAGAAATGTTATGAAATTAAACGACACGATGCATTTCGGCAGATTACTTCTCAGGTGTCAACGTCTGCTAAATAAAAATTTAAAATCTATCGATATTTATATGGCCAAGAAAGAGTGTACTTCTACAGGGAAAACTGAAAGCATAATCCTTTGATCGGCAGAAGAGGGGGTTGGATAACTTAATTAAAGCAGCCTCCATAACGCGTAACTTAGAGATTGAACGACATTTCTTAATTGTTCTAAAATTGTCGTCTGAATAAGAATCAGCACATTGGGAGTTATTTTAGAGATGTTTACCTATCGCATAGTCACATGCAACTAAATTACTTTTCTTACAAACACGTTTTGGTTGCTGTCTTGAGGGAACCGTTCTACTTCTGATTGAAGTTGGCACATGCTGTTTGATCCTATGACTTAACCATTGAGAGGTTCTCCTTAGCGAGCACCACAGTCAAATTTATATTCATAATTACATTGTTTATAAGTTCTGTCGGTAGAGAGTCTTTGGGGGTGGGTGGTAGAATAGTTCTTTTCGAAAATATAAAGATTAGAATGCTCGCATAAAACAAGTTCTCCCTAATATTTTTAGTTTCTCTTTCATTATCATGAGAAGCCTTACCCACTCATGGAAGTTTCATAAACACAGGGCACTTAGCTGGTTCAAAAGGGCTATAGTGCTCATTTTTTGTGGATGAAAAAAAAACTTTTGATAAACTTTTCTCTCTGCGCTACTTCAAACGCACGCGATCCACGTTTAGAGTTTTCTTAACAGAAATTTAAGTCCAAAACTACAACTAAAGTATAACTGAAATGTATGCAAGACTGAATTGTTGTTGCAGAAGGACATTTAGCTATGATTTCTTTCGTGTTTGGGGCATCTTGGACGTAAGATGCATCAAAACCTTCATTCCTTCAAATGTATTTTAATCGGCAAATAAATTAGTGGCCATAAGATGCCATGCTAATATTATTTTTTATATAATTAGAAACAAATGTTTGCGGCTTTTTTGTTTATGATCATTGATCATTGATCGCAGGACAGTTATTCAATACATTGCTTTTGATTTGAAACAACTAATATTAATTACATGAATAGCTGTTTATTATAACTAGTATTTATGAGTGTTTCTGATACATGAAGCTTTTTATTTTGACAATTTGACAGGGATACTATTAAACCTGAGCTATTTTACATCCATGAAATGTCCTATATCACGCATTGTCCACTTTTCTTACATAACACTTCATATGAAGATGTGAAGTAGTGTTGATCTACAGCTTAAACCAGATTATTTGTAAGGAAGTCCTAAGGGCTGATCATATAGAAAGAATATTTTCTGTAAAGTAAAACTGTGTTTCTTGACATTACTGATAAGGTGCCTGGAAATTTGACAAAACAGCCAAGTATTTTTTATGATAACTAAACAAGTTTTTTGATGCTTATTGTACTTTCCAAATTATTTATTCAGATTTACATTTTAATTAATTTTGAATAAATGAGGTAATATTTATCATAGCCGGTAAACATAACAGACGAACCACTAGTTGCCATCAAATGTTATTACATAATTAAAGGCATGTTAGTTATTTCTGTTTGTTTGGCAAATACAATGCAAGTGGTAATTGCAATATAGCACAGCTTGCATAGACTTACAGAAGATAAGAGTCTAGTGAAATGCATAATAAGCATGAATTTCATGAAGCTGTCCTCAATTGCAAGTTTTATCCTGACAATCTTTTTTTCATCTTTGGCAGAAAAAATTTTTGATATTTTTTTACGAAATGTCATTTTTTTTGCAACTGTATGTAGGGATGGTAAAAGATTGGAATCAACTGGCATTGTTTAATATCTGAGCTTTTTTACATACATTAACATTGCGCTACCTCATTTGTTACTAAAGCAATTACAGAGAGATGTGATTTCAGGTCTGTAAGTGCGTCTATGTGTGACAACTAGGTTAAAGTTATTAAAGATTATATCTGTTCTTGAATAGCATTAAGAATATACCTTATGTGTTTTGGAATAGCAGCTAAACATGCCCCTGGATACTTTCAAAGGGGGACTCTGGAGGAGTTCCATGACTGATCTTTAAAAAATCCTAGATTTGCCCCTAATCCAAATAAATTATTCTGGATATCAGTTCATGCTGACTTTACAAATTAGAGATAATGACCAAGAATGAAAGTGTTTAAAAGATATAAGTTATTGTAAGCTATTCAAATTAAAATTTTTGAAATTCAGCAACAAACTATTTTTGAAGAAAACATAAAAATGATGTCCCTGTAATGGATTAGATATCATAAATATAGAGTTGAAAAAGTATTTTGTTGACAATGACCCTAAGTATCAGATGTACACATAATTATATTTTAAACAGAGAACTGAAGATTTGCGCCAAACCAAAACCGTTTCCCCTACAATTAATTTAATAAGTTGGCAAATAGTGGAAAATTTATGATATAAAATAGGATAATCGGCAGAAACTGTGAGATAAGTTTGGACAACTAAAAACTTAAAGTCATAAAAACTTTATGATAACCACTCGGTTTAGGAAATAAATTGCACAAATTTAATCTTTTCCTACATTCATGGTATAAATATAAGTTATTTTTTGATTTGAAAATTTAAGCAATTATTTCATAACATGTTATTGTAAATTTCTTACCATAGACATTCGTCGGTTCTTGCATGCATCCGCTAATGCTTTTAACGGTTGGATCAATTGGTTTTTGCGGCTTTGTTTCTTTATTGTTGGGAAACAGATGCATTGATATTCCTTTGGTTTTTCAATGATTCGTGCAGTTAACTTTATTAGGTTGCTAGAAACACAGCGTTTTCCTCTCCGTTCCTTATTAAGATTACTAGTAGAATATGCCATGTTGATATCTGTGTTCAACTATCTACGTCATAACTCATTGACATACCGATAAAAAAAGTTCACAAAAAAATTGCTGAAAATCGTGACTTTGAATGTTCATAAAATCAATTCTACAAATGCAGAGTCAATTATAGCTGCATGGCTACAATTACTGAAACACCGTTTTTCAATTTAGCTAATAAAAAAAGGGAGGGGGGTGGAGGGAAATTCGTCGCATAAACACTTTAACATCCTATTAATTATTAGTTTTCTGAAGATGTCTTGAGTAAAGACGAAACGTCACAATAAATTCAGTTTTACATTTTTTGCTCTATCTCAATTGTTTTAATTAAAACTTTATGTTAGTCACTAATTTTCATAATACAAATTGAATTTCCACTCGGCACGTTCCTCGAGACCATATACGAAAACAAACAACTGTACAGAACCATATTTATTAGACAAATTAGCTCTGTGCTTTGAGTAACATTTAACAATAAGTAGTTCTCTAGATTATGTACAGTGCGTAAAAACCAAATTTGTTGAAAATATATTACAAAATAGCTATAAAATTAACTATAAATTTAATAAACTATTCTTTATTAATCTTCTCCTGCAGTCTTAGCCTGAGCTATCTATGCCTTGATTAATACTTTCTTTGATACTCAAAACGTTTTTAAAATGAACCAGTGTTGAAAGAACTATCAGTTAGTTTTTGCAAGTGATTTATCTTTGGAAAATCGTTTATAAAGGTCTGTTAGAATTTTCAAACGGATTGCTTTAAGTGTGCTAGAGTAAAAGAACTTTGTTACTTAGATATCAAATGCGTACCTTTCGAATGAGAAATTTCACATTACCTGTTAATCTTATGTATATATATTTGTATATAATGCATATATATATTTCAGTGAATTCAATAAAACGTCGCGCACATTTTTATCCCCACATATTTTATCAAAAAATATTCAATCAACTTTAGAATAGCAAAGTTAGTGATTGTTCACGCACACACACATATACACACACAAGGACCATGACATGGCAATGATGGCATAATACTTAAATTATCATTTGCACTGAAAATTTGTATATTTATTACACACCAAAACAACAAATTATACAATAAATACCAGACAATCATACCGTATGATACCTATATTAATGATTACTCCATAAAAGATAATTCTCAGGTATGGTGTGCAATTGCTATGATTCATTCAACTATACACTTCAACTGCTCTTCAAATAATTGCTTTAAATATAAAACTGGTCGAGAGGCCAGACGTTAACAAAGCACAATGTTTCTGACAATAGACAAAGGAATTGACCAAATGACCATTTAAAGCAAATGTTATCGGTGGATAACTTCGCGAGTTTTCATTTAATTCACTCAAATATACACGCAATTTTAAGCTAATTGCTGCATGTTATGTTTATGTCAACTTAGTTTAGTGAAAGTTTGTTAAACTTTTTTCCAGTCGAAATTTTTTGGCTTTAAACGTAGCAACATGTATTTAACACAATTTTTATTTGTTACAGTTAAACATTTTTACTAAACACCATTTCCAAGATTTTCTTTGGCAAAACTCCTAAGATCATTCAGATCTTTTGCACATCTCGTTGTGCTTCAATTTATTTAGAAAATCACAAAATAAAATCAAGTACAACTGACTTCTTGGCTTGCATATTTTCATGTTATTTGATTTTTTTATGTTGATAAAATAATAATTTTTTTCCTAGATGGAATCAAAACAAGAGAAAAACTACAAGTACATTAAAAAAATTCTTAATGAAATTGTTCAAAAAAAGCTCTCTGGACTTTTTATTGAGAAGTGGAATGATGGATACAAAACACTCTATGGAGAGTGGGACAACACAGAACATTGTGGTCAGGAACTTTGCAAGTTAGAAGCAAGCAGAAAACGATCCATAATGGATTTTATTCAAACACAATTTCAAAAGGGAGACGCAAGTCTTTGGGACTGTTCTGCATTATTTGATGCAATACTCAACTCTATTTCCATAGGCAAGAAACTAAAAACTTGTGAAAAGGATGTGTGGGACGCGGTCAGTGATCTTCGTTTCGTCCGAAATACCATAGTGCATAAGGAGCAAAGCACTTTATCTGACAATGAATTTCAAGATTTTGTCGGTAAAATTGAAAAATCATTCGTGGTATTAAAGTTTTCCCAAACTGAAATGAATGAGATAAAAGCACAACGAAACTTGTCTAATTCATTTTGTGTTCTTCCTTCCAAACCAAATCATTTTGTTGTTGAACGTACTGAACTACGTGATCAAATTATTAATGATCTTGAAAAGTTAAGCAAAGATAACAACAATGGACTGACATATTTCTTCATTTCTGGTAATCCTGGCAGTGGGAAATCTCAACTTGCGAGAAAGGTTCTCGAAAAAAAGTATAAATCATGGAATTTTGAAGAAGGGGCTTCGTTTGTATTTCCACTTGATGGTAAGGATGAGGATTCTCTGTTAAAAACTTACCGTGAACTTTGTTACCGCTTAAACTGCGATAAATTGAGGATAAAGGAAATCATGGAAGAAAAAGTTGCCATCACAGACAAAGCGAAAAATTTACAGTCATTAGTATGCGCTCAAATTGATTTTTGGGAAAAATGGTGGATTATTGTAGATAACGTTGTTCAGCTGGATGAAATTGATTCCATGCTCCCAGAAATAGGTGAGCCCAAGTGGATAAACGGACAAATAATTCTAACTGTCCAAAATACAGATGCTATACCTGACAATATAATGATGTGTAAGCATATTTCTATAAGCCAAGGGATGAATTCTGATGAATGTCTTCAGCTTTTAAAACATTACAATAAAAATGAAAATGTTAAAATCGAAATTTTGAAGGAGGTTATCAACACATTAGATAGCCAACCGTTGGCTTTAGCTGCTGCTGGTTATTACGTCAGTAGTGTAAATAAAGCAAACAAAACTTTTTCTTGGAATGATTACCTGAAAGAACTGTCTTCAGGAAAACAAGAAAAAATGAACGACACTCACACTAAAATCAACCATCCATATCCCAGGACTATGTTTCAAGCTACTTTTCTGGCAGTTCGAGTAAACGCTAAAACCTCTCCATTATTGGAAAAAATCTTTCGCTTTTTTTCATTAGTATCCTTCGATCCAATTCCTCAGGATATTATAAATCAATATATTCAAAGTTTTGATAACACAGAAGGTGACGAAGATCAAGCTCTTGTTTTCGCTCATTGTTCTTTGTTTTTGTACTCAGAAAGCAACGACATTCGTCTTCATCGTGTCGTTCACGATGCAATCATTGATTACACATGGCAGCATTCTCATGTAGAAAAAATAATGGAGCTTGGACATAATACGTCTTTTTCTCAAAATTCATTATGTCAAGTTGTTCAAGCTCTTTACAATTTCAAAGGCAGAGATGATCAAATCAAGTTGATACCACATCTCAACTTATTTCTGGAACACTTACAAACCTACAAATTCAAATTAGAAACAAACAATTTAAAATTTCTCAATTATTTTCTTAGTATGTTGAGATTTTTTGGAAAACACTATATTACCCTTAAATACTTGGAGAAATTTGAAGAAGAGGCGTTTGAGTTCAATTCTGATGTCAAAGCTTGGTGTTTTACTGAGCTTGGATATTCATACGATAGCACTGGACAGTTTTGCAAAGCGGAAATTTTCTTCAAAAAAGCTTTAGAAAGTCGCAAGGAAATTTTTGGCGAAATTCATGCTGATGTTGCTTCGTCATTAAATGATCTTGGTTTGCTGTATCGAAGGACTGGAAGTTATAAAAACGCAAAAAAAGTCCATGAGAAAGCTTTAGAAATTCGAAAACAATTGTTTGATCCAGATCATGTTGATATTGCCACTTCTTTAATGAATCTTGGACGGGTGTATGATAGAACTGGAGAGTACGACAAAGCGAAAGAAGTTCAACGAAAAGCTGTTGAAATTCGTGAAAAATTATTACCCCAAGATCAAGCTGATTTAGCCGATGCCTTAAACCATCTTGGTTTGATTTATGACAAAACTGGAGAGTATGAGAAAGCAAAAGAAGTTCATACAAAGTCTGCAGATATCAGGGAAAAAGTATTAGGACCAGATCATCCTGATGTAGCTACGTCATTAAGCAATCTTGGTTTGATATATGACAAAATTGGAGATTATCTCAAAGCTGAAGAAGTTCATACTAAAGCCATAAAGATTCAAGAACATTATTTTGGTATTGATCATCCTGAGGTAGCCATGTCTTTAAACAATCTTGGTTTCATATACGACAAAACTGGAAAATATGACAAAGCAAAAGAAGTTCATAAAAGAGCTCTGAAAATTCGAGAAGAGTCTTTGAGCCCAAATCACGTTGATGTAGCTTGGTCATTAAGCAGTCTTGGTTTCGTATATGAAAAAACAGGAGAATACGATAAAGGCATTGAAGCTCAGCAAAGGTCTGTTGAAATTCGCAAAAAAGCGTTAGGTCCAGACCATCCTGATGTGGCTACGTCTTTAAATGGTCTTGGTTGGGTGTATGAAAAAGCTGGAGAGTACCACAAAGCTGAAGAAGCGCACAAAACAGCTCTAAAAATTCGAAAAAAATTATTAGGTACATATAATCCTGATGTGGCTACTTCTTTGAATAGTCTTGGTTGGGTGTATGAAAAAACCGGAAATATGACAAAGCAAAAAAAGTTTTGAAAAAAGCTCTGACAATTAGAAAAAAGACTTTGGGTTCAGATCATGCTGATGTAGCAACGTCTTTAAACAGTCTTGGTTTGGTGTATGAAAAGACTGGCAAGTATAAAAAAGCTAATCAACATTTGAAAAACGCTTTGGAAATTAGGAAAAAAGTGTTGAATCCAAATCATGCTGATGTTGCCACGTCTTTATACAGTCTTGGTTTGGTATGTGAAAAAAAGAGAGAATTTAAAAAAGCTGTGGAATTTCATGAAAAAGCTCTGGAAATTAGAAAAACAATATTAACTCCCGATCATGTTGATATAGCTACGTCATTTTACAATCTTGGTTTGGTATATGATAAAACTGGAGAATATCACAAAGCTATGGAATTTCATGAAAAGGCTTTCGAAATTCGAAAAAGTACGTTAGGTTTAGAGCATGCTGATGTGGCAATGTCTTTAAGCAGTCTAGCTTTGGTGTATGACAAAATTGGCGAGTATGACAAAGCTAAGGAATGTCGAAGAAAAATATTTAAGCCTGGATCATCCTGATCAAAGAAATTAAAAAAATATCTGTAGGTTCTTTAAAGACATTTAGCAATGCATTTTCCTGCATGTATTAACTTAAGATTTGCTTTAAATGTGAAGAAAACAAAAAAGGTAGGGATTTAAGTGGAATAATTTTTGAAGTTAAATACCTTTGAGAGGGACTTATAAAAAGTGTTAAGACGTAGCTTGATATAACCGTGTCGTAGTTACATTGTATCACCATTAAAATAAGCTGGGGTCTTTAATTGCTTTACTTTAATATGCTTTTTTGTCGATGCTTTCTTTCACAATGTTATGCTGTAGCAACAATCATGAAAAATCAAACTCAAGTGTTGAAATTGAAGTGAAAGGTTGATGACAGCTCTTAAAGAAAGTAAATGGACGACATGATGAATGGCGTGAATGACGTTTAGATCTCCACCCAGTCATTAAGTTATTTTGATTTTATTAATTGATAGAAAAATTCTTTAAAAGTTTTAGGACTTAACTGTTTAAGTTTTTGTCGCTCTAATTACCAATAGCTTGTTCTTAAGCTATTCAAACGCGTTTTATTCAATATTGCACAATACTCTGCCTGTATGTAACCACACAGAGTAGCACCATGTTTATATAATAATTTATACCAGTGTACTAACTCCATTGTCAATTAAACATTACCTTCTTTTGTGTCTTTTATGTTGTTTTATAATCTTTTTAAAACATCCCTATACCTCTTAGAAACAGTTCAGTTGTCTTTTATTATTATTTTATGTTTAGTATTGTAGTCAAGTATTTTACACGTAACTTATATTTATACCAAAATTATTTTCTATGACATTACAATGCCTTCACATTCATTATGCGTCATCAAAAGTTGCGCTGCATCTAAAATGTTATTAATGTTATAAGCTGTATATGTTTAACGTTGTTAATTTTTTTATGGAAGCTTAATGAGATGTGAAGATTACTGCGGTTGATATTCAGATATTCATGTGAAGATGATCAATAAATGTATTGGTTGAAAAAAATATTGATGGGCATGTAAATAAAATACATATTTAATATCAGAACTTTAGTTCTAGTATCCATAACGACTTATTTGGCTAGAGGAAAATATCCCGCGTGTATCGTTGTAGACAAATATGTTCACACTTCCACAACAAACCAAACTAAGCTGAGATTTTTTTCTGCGCAAATCTTGTAAGGAAAGGGAGTTTTGTATAAGTCATTTTGCAGTTTTTTTAATAATAGAAGTATTTTTTTATTATTAAATATATAATATTTTGACATGTTGGTATTGTTACTCGGGTGGCCTGACTTATTCATAAGGAGTCCACAATAATTTTAGTGCATTAACATTTTGGGTGGCGATGATTATCGAAAGTTGCATGCCAGTTTGTTTGCTTATTGTTGCAGATATGCTGCACAGAAAAAGAAGTGCTTAACTTGTTAACAAATAGATAATATTTAATCGTTGTCTAATATACGCTTATAGAAACAAGGGTATGATGTCAATTGTGATGAGAACTAAAAAAGTGACACGAGCTGCTGGTTCGCGAATAAACTGTAAACTGTCAAACAGTTTGTTTTCATTGCACCCAAACACTTCAAAAAGTGAAACCTCATGATTTTGAAAATATCACGAGTATATGATCGATAGGTTGGAAGAACGACTATTGGCTAGCTTAGTCACGCGATGAATTAGTTATTGGCTAACAAAATCAACAAACAATAACCCATCGATTTTATTAACATTTTGTCATCGAAGAGGAAATAGGAATCAACGTTTCAAAAATAGATACGCAGTGTGTACACGTGGATAGCCTTTCAAGTATATAAATACAAAATTAAGTCGATTAAATGAGCATATTTCAAATAAAATATTTGATAAATATTTGATAAAATTGCTGTTATTGCTCTTTGCCTTTTATGGTTAAATATATTACTACCTGCTACGGCATTCTTCAAAGTTGAGAAAGACTGGGGATATTTGGGATCTGTGTATTATTGTTTTGTTACATTTTCCACAATCGGTTTCGGGGATCTTGTTCCTACAACGTTACGAGAGCCAAGCAAAATTGAATCACAGGTGAAAGAATCGCAATGTACTTATAAAACCTGGAAATAAGTTTTTCGAGTAGACAACGCTAGAGTAGTGAACACATTGTATGTATGACATGACCTAAGCTAAAGTGTGTCAGTGTAGGTAGTGATGAATAAACAATATAGAACAAGAACAGTCTTTACACTACCTAACATATAAAGTAAGATAGCCTGTGTCAGTGTAGGTAGTGATGAATGAATAACAAAAAAAAAGGGAATAAACAGTCGACACCACTAGTTTACACAAATCACAAAATAAAAATAGAATACGCTTTTATTATAATACAGCCCTCCCTCTGTCATTTACCGAGCTAATGACGCCACTGCTATAAACGAGATTACAAGGCTCAATCTCTTAATAAAATCATTTGTTTGCCAAATACAGGTGTTCATTGAGTTCTCAGATTTGTTATATCTCGTAATCGGTTTCGCAATAATGTCTAGTGTTGTTGTTGCGATATCGGGGGTCATCGAGAACAAAACACAAATGCTGGTAGATCATATGGAAGCGTTTCAAAGAATTGACATGGACAATCTTAACTCAGTTGCCGTGAAAAAACTGGGCTTGAAAATAAACAGACCTGATAATTTAAATGTACGTAAGGGAACTGAAGCTCAGAAAGCCAACGATATTCCAAATAGTGCAACGAATAGAAGAGAAGTTAAATTTCTCAACTGGTATGATCAAAGATTACAAGAACGGCATAGCTCTGATAGAAAAGATCACGTTGGACCCACGCCGGTCATCAGTATTGCAAAACAAAAAACATCTAGAAGTAACGATAATTCAAGATCTTTGATGAATAGTACACTTGTAAAAACTGAAAACTTGGTAAGAATACGAGTCTACTTAATCTTTATTCATAGTTGGTATTTTGAAAAGTATATGTTAAGTGTGGTATTTTGTATGCATTACAAACTTAAGTGAGAAAAGTAAAATCTTAAATTTATTTAGTACTTTATATTTATCTCGTTTATTGAATGAGACGACTATTTCAGTAAAAGCTGATTCTTCCATATGCTGTCACAGTACAACTCCACTACCCCCTCCGGTTTTAAAATCCAACAAAGTCACTCCAACGGAAGATATGCCTGTTGGTACTAAGAGCGGCATTGTTAACGGAAATTTTGAAACTCTAGATGAATTAGCAGTACAGACAATGGAAGATGATTTCAAGAGGGACAACGATGCTAGCAAGATAAGCGAGTTAATGAATGTGTCTAGTGCAACAGAAGAATATAAGTTACAAAATGAGTCTGAAATAATGAATTTAAAGACAAATGTATCTTTCAAATTAGAGAAGGCTTAAAAGTTCAAAAAAGGAAGTTGGTGTTTCATTTTAGGGCTCATTTTAGCACATTTCATGTATTAGCCGATTCAAAATTTCAAAGCTTTGTGTTTCACTTAGCTTGGATATTCATACGATTGCACTGGACAGTTTTGCAAAGCGGAAATTTTCTTCAAAAATGCTGTAGAAAGTCGCAAGAAACTTTTTGGCGAAATTCATGCTGATGTTGCTTCGTCATTAAATGATCTTGGTTTGCTGTATCGAAGGACTGGAAGTTATAAAGACGAAAAAAAGTCCATGAGAAAGCTTTAGACATTCGAAAACAATTGTTTGATCCTAATCATGTTGATATTGCCACTTCTTTAATGAATCTTGGACAGGTGTATGTTAGAACTGGAGAGTACGACAAAGCGAAAGAAGTTCAACGAAAAGGCACTGCGGTGTTTGAGATTAAATATAGATATGATCTTCGTACTTTACAAGCAATTTAAGCAATTTTCTCATGAACCTGAAAATTTCAGGTGACTCAACGGGATTCGAACCCATGACCTCTGCAGTGCCGGTGCAGTGCTCTGACCAACTGAGCTATGAAGTCACACAGTGGTGAGCAGGTCAATTTTGTTGGGCTCATGTTTTCTCGTGAAATGAATTTTATATGAAAGAATGTTTTATATAAAAAATTCTTTTATATAAAACATTCTTTCATATGAAACTGTAAACTTTCAAACAGTTTGTTTTCTTTGCACCCCAACACTTCGAAAAGTGAAACCTTATGATTTTGAAAATATGACGAGAGTGCGATATATATGGTAAAAGAATGCCTATTGGCTAGCTTAGTCATGCGATGAATTTGTTATTGGCTAACATAATGAACAAACAATAACCCATCAATTTTGTTTTACATTTTGTCATTGAAGAGGAAATAGGAATCAATATTTAAAAATTAAATGAGCATAATTCAAATAAAATATTTGATAAAATATTTGATAACTCTTCCAACTTGTTAACACGTCCAACTTGTTTATAATTTTAAACTGCCCTTAAGTTATGTGGCCAAGAAATTGTTCAACACTATCTGTGTTTTATAAAATATCAAACTAAAAGGCATGTCACGTGACTGTACTTAGGCCTTGCGTCAAGGAAAGTGACGTCAATATATATTTCCCGCGAATTTTAAAGATTTTTTCGCCGGGAATCATTTTTGCTATAATGTGTTTTAAAAAGGTTTTTTGTCGTGTATAGATGTCGTTAAGGGGGCGTTGTTCCCATAAACAATAAATGGACACCACACGCTCATGACCAACATGGACAGAGGACTTTTTATCCTGCAAAATCGTTAGTACGTCGAATTTATGTTAAAAACCAGAAACATGTCAAAAGAAAGACTTTGGAGAAATGGTGCATTGTTCTTGCAATATAAATTGCACGTTTTCAAAAACGAAAATCAATACGGAAGCAAGGATATTAAGTTGATTAAAGAAATATACAGCCACCATTCACTTGCAGAATCAAACTTTAAAAAATAATAAATATTTACACTACACTATTTTCCTCGAAAAAAATTTGAAAGGAAACAAGGTAGGTGAATAATCCCAAAACGCCTGGAAGGACTTGGAGATAGGAATGAAGAAAAAAATGAAGATCTGCATTTAAAATATAACTTTAGAAGTGAGATATAAAGACCAGAAGGAACAGCGTGACACGATGAAAAGGATACTCTTATTTGCATAATATATATAACAAAAACACGATTTGAGTTTTGCTCTTATTAATTATATGAAAATTTTATTCCAATTTACACACAAAGCGATGGTAAAATTAAATACTATTTTATTTCCGCACATAAGTTATCATTTAGGAAAGTTTGGTAGGTTTTCATGTTCTTAACAAAACCGCCAACAACTCTCTGACCAAAATATTGTGAAAAGCATTATGTAAACAATAAACAAAGCATAACAAGTCCTGTGTGAAATTACGTACAATTCATTGAACAAGAAGTAACTCATCAGAACCAAACATTTTGCCCAACCAACTAACCAGGGACTAAAGAAAAGGACTGATATACAAGACTGCAAACACAAACAGTTATTGACGAATATGGGTAAAACAGACATATTTAAAACATAAAAATCCATTCTGAAATCTATCCTCAGGAGCCATGAAATATCAAAATATAATAAAGAGGCTAAGCAAGACTTAAACACAACTGACGAATTTAAAAGATTGAAGTAAAGCTATACGTATGTAATAGTAAAGCTGCCAGCAAGGAAAGATCGAGAGCAGATAAAACCACACCAACAGAAGACCGACAAGAAAGAATGTCTAATCTGGTAAACGGTATTTATATACATTCATTATCTTAATTGTTATTCAAGCGACCAGTCTTGAATGTCTAACTTAGCATTTGCTAACTTAGCATGATGATTTAAAGGCAAAGGAACATTAGAAAAATTTCTTATTATATTTTGTGATAAATGCATTCAACATGTATCCTTAGACGACTGAAATGTTCTTTAGTTTGTATTGCGCATCAAAAGATTGACAAAAATGAGCATCAACATTAGTAAGTTAGACAAAAATTAATTACACTTAATTCCGGTTTGTGATGTGTCATAAAAACAAGTTCAAAAAATCTATAGCTAGATGACTAATTAATGCCCATGCAAACAAACGATGTTGTTTTTCATGTTATTCTGTTCATATGCAAATATGATATAATCTCAAGTGTTTGAAAATGATTGGTACATTAACTCCACCCACATTAAATTTGGTATAGTGCTAAAGAAAATGTTCACTATTGCTAAGGACAATCAGCTAAAACCAAAATATTTAATAGCCACAAAAAAACGTGTGGACTGAGCTTACTCTCCAATGTTAAGATTAAAAATTTTCCCGCGTTTCCTTCTTTTACTTTGGACAGACCAGGCATCTCGTTTAAGGTTTTCATTCTGTGTTTAAATAATGAAATGTTGTGTGTAAAATCCTCATGAATTATTTTACTTTTGAAAACATAACTAGGTTTCTGACTTAAGTTGACATATTCTGTTGCTGCATTCCATTTCAAACACCTTAAATAAAGCTATTTTTACAGTGAATATAACTACAGTCCTTTGCTCAAGGACAAAATATGACAAATACTTAAAAATCTAATTTGGGATTTACAATTTTTAAAGTTTTCTTTGTCTTTTTTTGCATAAGTATTAACTTATATATCTTTAGATACCTATATTTAGAGTATTTTAATCATTCGCCATTTTTGGGAAAAATAACGTATAATGAAAAAAATATATGTTAATTTAATACTCTGTTTAACATCGGTACTTTGATGTAGTCCCCCAACATAGCCGCTTTGACGTCAAATGCAAACACTCCATTGGTAATTCACAATAAGACACATCAATAACAGGACTAACTCATAACTTATATTACCTGAAGTAAGAAAATTAATAAATAAATATCTTAATGTTATAATCCCTTATAATCTTTTTTATGAATTACATTGTGAGGAACATTTCAAAAGTCAAACATAACATAAGTCAAATGCAAAAGAACAAAAGATTATAAAAAATTTCATTTTAATTTCTATTGTATTTCTTGCATTTGACACATTATTGGATAGTTCTGCTTGAATAGAAATTGAGGAAATGCATTTAAGCATCGTTTTGCATGTGTACATGCCGTATTTCTTTAGACACCTCTTTTGGTGTGGTTCTATCTTCTCTAGACGTTTCTTCTTCTCTTCCTTATGGTGTCAATTTTCAATTGTAGCTTATACTTTCATGTCTTGAAAATGTTCAGTTGCGTCTAATTCTGGCTTATCGCCTTTTAATGCATTATGGTGTTAGAAGATGGACTTTAATACCGATCTCTGGCTTGTAAATATTTCTCTTTTACAAAAATCGGTCAAGCCTTATTGTAATTGCAATCTTTCGTAAAGACTTTAGTGTCTGAAATTTTGACGAGTTTATGTGGCAGGAGAGTTGTTAATACTTCTGTTAATATCTATGAAAGCGTTCTAGCAATATTAGACAAATAGCAAAACTTTATTTACCCATCTTAACTCTGTCAACTGACGAAGATTTACACAAAGGGGATAAAAAGAACAAAACATTTGACAATGCTATTCACACAGTTTGTTTATTATTATATCGAGATACGTTAGAAATTATAGGCTGCAACTATTTTTTTGAAAGCATCACAGTAATTTGCTTTGTCAACATTTCATTTGGAAAGAGTTCTATATTTTAGATTCGTCATACATAAAACTATTTTTCATGATTCTATTAATTCGCAGATGTGGCAAGTATAAGCTACTCGAAATAAAAGACATCAGATAACGAAAGACGACGTTTTTTGAAGATGGATTTTTGTCGATCTTCAATTGAGCAGGATTGTCATTCCTGTAACTGGTAAAAGCAATAAATTCGGTCAACGGAAACTTGACGTTGATCAAATGCATTTGACCACACTCGCCACAAATTTTATGTCTACTAATCTCGACAGCAATTTTTTACTTATGGAACGTTGAAAGTTTGATCTAAAAAACATTAACAAAAAAAGTCACACATCAGTTTCAAAGATCTCTGGGAGCGATTACTGAAAACCCGTTCATTTTCAAAGTCCCCCTTACAAATTCAAGGATACCGCATACATAGTAAAACATAATAGTTAATTTAAACTAAAAGATCATTTAGTTCTCAATTATTATTTATGTAGTATCATTTAGTATCATTTAATAGTCAATACAAAGAACGAGGTATAAAGAACGAGGCACATTATATAAGTGGATAGTGTGTGAACGATTATTCTATAATCTAGCTCAATTTTTACAAAAGAATTCGCAACATCCTTCAGCACCTTAAAATTCTCCATTTTTTCCAATCTATTTGTTAGACGTATGTCGCCGAAAGATACAGACTTGTCAGTCCAAAACTTTCCAACGAAAGGTGATTTAAGATGCACATAGATACGGTTCAACTTCATCGTGCGATCGTCACATTTATTTTGAGAAAACCATTCTTCTTTTGTTGAAAAAAAACTATATTCGTACGCATCGACGTTCTCGAAGCAAACAGCTACACTGTACAACACGTCTAGCTACAAACCATCAATCTTGATCGAAAAGATAGGAAACGTACGCCTATAAAATTTGAACAAGTAAAAAAAACGTTGGCTTCGATGGTGGCTTTGTAACGTACGGAAAACTTTTGCTCCTTCTAAAAGTAAAGCCGTGACGAATTGGCATCAGAAACAAATTTAGCAGAGCCGATGGTTGGTAATTTTTTTTTCTATTAGTGAGTAAGTGTGCGTGTGATTCTGGTTCAGTTTTATTTAAATTTTCACTACACTTTTGCTTTTATCATTTTGAGAATACTAATGCTAAAAGGGTTCTTAGCCGTGGCAGTTAATGCTGTAGAGTAGTAACTTCATTACTCAAATTTGTAGTGATACGTTAAGCCCTGTTCTGGAGCTTTTGCAGCTCTTTCATTGCATTTCGCAAAAGATATCCCAAATTTAGGAGCAATACTAGGCGTAATGATGCACTTAAGGCATTTTACATGAAAATAGACGTTTCTCTGACTTTAATAAATTATTTATTACTACATTGTAGTGCCGAAATTTCTTATGTCATCTTTTTACATATATTTGTGATATTAAGATTCCAACTTGAATGCTGCTAAATTGTTGTCCCTAAATTTTTTTATTAATTAACTTGTGATTTTTAAAGTGTTGCAAGGTGGGTAATCCCAACCATCTAAACTTTTTCTATATCTATTGTTTTGTAAAATGTAAAGTATAAAGTTCAAATCGGCAAATACTTTAATTTGATAAGTATGGAAGTTTAAAAGTATTTCATGTCACACTTATTTTGACGTTACATTGATCATTTATAGCACGTTAAGACTGATTGCTGGAGTACGATACACTTGTTCGGTAAATATTCTGCTGGCCGTTCTTACTACGTTGTACCCACAAGCTTCGTCTATTTATAATTTTATGCTTTTAATTATACCAAGTTTTGAAACCATGTGCTGAATACGTGCCCTTCTGTTCACGTTACTCAGGCGTCATCGTTTACATATACTTGGGTATTACCTCTTTACTTGTTACCCATACCTGGGCACATAGTCTTGACCACCATTGAATTGTTATGTTGACATTGGTGCTTGTGCCTGGGAACTCTGTCTGAACGCACTTTTTTATAAGGGCACTCTCAAAATATGTGTTCAGTTTGGTGTCCGTTCCTGAGCACAGTACCAGGGCACTCTCTCTGAACCCACTTTTATACAAGGGCACTATCAAAATGTTGTGTTCACATTAGTGAAATCGAAATTTACAAACAAAATTAAACAAATTTGGTTTATTGAAGGATTACTAATAATACTTTTAAAATCAAACTATCTATGCTTGGATCAACCATCCAATTCTGTGACCTTTTGTTTGACCCTCCCTTTCAAACATTTTTCTGATCTGCTTGTTATTACTTCTGATGTTTAGTCGGAAATTTAGGTGATTAGAAGCGAATGAGCATAAATTCTGTTTTAACTAAATTTAACTTAGGTTTATAAGAATTTATCGAAAGAATTTCTAAAAAAGCAATCGCCTCTTTCTACAGATCAGCTAAGGGGTTGCTAGATGCTGTGATTTTAGTATTATAAGGAACGTCTACCCTTTATATTCTTCATACTGGCTGGTAAAACATTGTCATATAATAAGAACAGCAGTGGTCCGAAGATAAACACTTGTAGTACACCACATTTATTGTGACAAATAACGAAATAGAGCTGTATATTTGATATTTTTGATGATTATTTGAAAGATAAGTCTCTATTAATGAAAAAGCTGTATCATTAGTTCAATGTTACTCAAGTTTCTTAACTAGAATACTATGATTGACAGTATCAGGGACTGTTTTTCGGTCAGAAACATTAAATTAGACATTATTCCATTCATGCTCAAATGCCACACATTTGTACGATTCAATATGACTGTTGTAAGATAGATGACAACATTTCAAATTCTAAATACAGTGCTGTGGAGGCTGTAATTTCGGGATAACAAACAGTGGAGGATTATTTAGTTAACGAGGTTAAAGCTGGCATTCGATAAGATGAAATAAAGAAACATCAAACATGCTTCAGTTTTTTAAACTACTTTAATATAAACAGTGGCGTAGCTAGACATAAACAACTGGTTTTAACTATACTGAAAACAAACATGAATTTCCAGTACAGTTGGTGGCAACATAAGTTATTTGTGCCGCTATTTATGTACGCTTTAATGTGCGACTTTGATATTTCATGTTTTTTGCCAATCGCGTAGTAAATGAAGCATGTTCACAAAATTGAGTCAATGTAGTTGACTTTGGAGGAAAGAGTAATTAAATGCAACAAAATAACCGTTGCTTCACCACACTAGTGCACAACCAATTTTTTTTTTGCACACCATGACTGTTGAATCCCTTTATCTCTTGTTTTCAGTGTGGTCTTTGGAGATGAGCATGGCTACCAACAATATTTTTTCATTTGTTGTAACTATATCTCTGACTCTTTAAGCTTCTGACGGGATGTTTAACTGTCCTTGATTGATTATCATGTTCACACACGAAAATAAATCCAGTAATGCAGCGAAAGGAGAGATAATCCGACAGTTTTTGAAATACTTGCCGATGAACTTCGTTCACGTTTATGAAGCCTTTTGTTTTTCTCGTTACTACAACATTTCCATTATGGATGCTTTCTATACTCAGCTTCTTTCATCTCATCATGCGTAAGAATTCTACCTTATGCATTATTAGTGATTTATGTTTTGGTCGTTTTTCCCTGATCAGAGCATGAGCAAACTAAGGCTAGCAATACCCATTTTAACAGGTCGTGAGAATTTTAGGACAATGATAGCTTAGAAATATATAATTTGGTCATGCTGGCCTGACAAGTGCACGACCAAAAACGATGGTCTTAAATATACACTCTACAATTTGCTGCTACAACAATTATACAACAATACAAGTACATAAATAAACTACTGTAGCTACAGTTCTTTTTGAGACTGAGATAAGAGTTTAATGAACTCCCGTAGTGTCATGTATTTTACGTCACACACACAATATAAAGTTTTATACTAGACAAGTTTTTAAGCTACAAACATCATCTATACATAGGTACTTAAAACTATGTTGACTTGAACAATAGAATTATGTTTGGCAAAAATGCAAAGCACATTTTAAAACTAAACGTATGACAAACAGAAGTTATCGAGCTTTACCTTGTGTTCAAACAAACAATGTAGTTCACTGACATGCTTACAACACTGAAAAGGAGCTTTGAGATACATTTGGGGTTTGCAAATCACCATATTGTTCGCACAACTTTTTCGCTCTTTTCTTAGAAACTTTGAATTTTCTGTTTTGAGGCTGTTGGTGCATCTTACTGCCCTTGAAAAATAGACAAAAACATTCCATTACCATCCCTTAGCCAACAAATCAATTAATATATCCCTCTAAGCGTTCTTTTTCAATAATTGTACCTAAGCCCAAGTGGCCGGAATACTTCTTGAGGAGGAAAAGATGAGATATATTATCGTTTTAGTATTGTATTGTTATACACTACCAGTGTGAATCAAATCTGGACAGCTCTTTTATCATTTAGGTTCAGATTCAACCATCTTGCGACTTAAGGTAGATAAAAGGAAGCTTGACAATGACTCGTGTCGCAGCAAGCTCGTGCGTTTATAACACCAAATGACCTCAAAAGGTTCAGCTGATTACTCTTAACGGTGATAAACATTAGCGAATGAAAACTTTGAAGAACGCTAAAAAAACAAATCGAAAAGGCTTATATGGTTTCAGCTGTTTTGAGTTTGTATGCCGATTGATACAGCATGCAATGTTTACAAATGTATGTGTTTCCTTGGTTTACTGTATGTAAGACTTGTTTCTTATATAATTTGTATAATTTTTACAGAATAAGCAAATTTGCCTTTGTGGACAACACAGTTCTATAACGTAGAATCACTAAAACGCAAATAAAAACCTCTATCAAAATTAGAAAAAGCTTTATCTTTGATAATCTGCCAATTTTCGCAACAACTCAAATCTACCAGCCATTCTCTAATTTCTTCTACAATATTCAACATTACTTTACATTAATGTAAGTTATGTGTAGAGAATCATTAACTTCAGCAAATTAAAAACTATCAATGAAGATGACATTAAAAATAAAATGTTTATGGTATGCAAGAAAATTATTCACTTTTGATGTTCGTAAGAGGAATCTTCACCTTAAGACTATATATACCTTTATGCAATTTGCTTTACGGCATCATCTTTAATGTTTTCCACTGTACTCTGTCTCTAATGGACCCATCAAAGAACTCTATCACCTAACAAACTACCATTTATTATCTTTAAAATGGTTATCCATTAACATTCTTTCCTCATCCTCCACAATACAACATGTATTAAGAAATGGGTTCTCAGATATACTAAAATCTAATCGCGTCAGATTCAAAGCAATCATATCAACGCTATAATTTTAGGAAAAAATGGAATGAGTTTTTTTGCTCGCATTACTTGCCATTGAATGATAAACATATTCAATAATCTAAAACTTGTTTCCCATGCCGGAGGTCATTAAAACGGTCTCTGCTCCGTTAGTGAGGATCCCATAAAAAATTGTTTCGGTTAGATCGTGCAGATAGCTTCAGATCTCTTTGTGTTTAGGAAAGTGCAGAAACTGCTTACCCAATAATTTTTCCATTTTTGTTAAAATGAAGTTTGGCGTTTTTCAACATAGATCTGTTACTCTGCTACTTTGGTAATGTTGTTTTTACGATCCTCTTTATCTTTGCTTCAATTTCATTTACTTAGTGGATTATTTTGTAAGTTCTTCTCTGCATTGATGGCATGTGGCAACTCAAAATCGTAATCGCAGAGCGTGTAGAAATGAAATGTAGTCTTAGCTCTTCTGTGAAAAGAAATCACGAGGCACATGCATAC